AGGCCCTAAGCGCTGGGCGCGGGCGCCCAGGCCGGACTCACCCATTTTTGAGGTCTACTTCGAGAAGGCGGCCGTAGCCACTGAAAAAGCGCTGAATGTCCTTCTCTCGGACATTGTAGCTCAGGCGCCCTATGTAGACGCGCGGCATGTCTTTGGCGGGCGGGGGCCCGAGGGCTGGCTGTCGAACGGCGGACCGCAAGACAGTAGCCGCGGTGCGGGGGCGGTGACGGCGAGAGCCAGAACACGCGCCTCACACCACAGCAGCGGCCGAGTCCAGCCACACAATGGTGCGCGCGCGCGCTAGGGCTACGCTATATGGGCGACCGACGGGGGCGGGGCCCGGCGCGTGACGTCAGCGCGCAGCACGTACCCTCGCGCCTCGGAACCCTGGGCTGGAGAGTGAATTGCCAGTCCACTCTCCGCAGGGTTTTGTTGTAGGGTGATCTTGCTCTCTTTCGCAATTTCCTGCAGCCTTACTCATTCATCTTCGTAATCATAATATCCCGTAGCCCAGCCGCGGACTTCTTTTCTAACTTGCACCTTTTAAAAAACTGTTCCCCAGTGTAATCTTTCCGAGACTGGAGCTTGGGAGGCAGGCTAGGAAAAATCTCCGTTTTTCATTGGCTCTAGCGGGTGTCATAATAAGCCATCGTGGCCTCTGATTGGTCCCTTAAAACAAGGCTGCGAATTTCCTTCACCGATTGGTTCACGCTCACCTTGGTGGGGACGGCCCTCTCGGACACAGCTAATTAACCCGTTTCATAGAATCCGAGGATTACGCTCTGAGGTCGTGGTGACCCGACCCGGGTCGCGTTGCGAGCGCACAGCCTTGCCGGCTGCAGTCCCTTGGGGTCTCACAGCCTTCATCCGCCGTCACTGCACGTTCCCCTCTCTTCCTGGGTTTTTGTTGGAGCACTAGCAGCTCGAGTCACCTGTAGATTGTGGTGTACGTGAGAGTCCCACGCTCACTGCAGACTCACAAAGGCAGCACGGGCAAGGCCCCCTGGCACCAAGAAGGTCGACCAAGACCTGGCAACTCTCCTACAGCGATGAGCTTTTTCTCCCTTATAGTGAGAGTCCATTGTCCCAATACTATCCCTTTCCCCACTGGTTTGGAAGTCACCTTATTTATGGGACAGAAATATACATTTGTGAATTTATCAACAGAGGTGCCATTTAAAGTTGGAAAACTAGATGGAAACCCCAAAGGAGTAAGTTTAAGTGGAGAGCAGAAGACTCAGAACCACGCTCTGGGGTACTCTAAAATTTACTAAAGTACAGGAAACGAGACTGGGTAGAACTGACTGGAGAGGTAGGGAAAAGATTGGGAAAGTGTGGTCTTACAGAAGCTAAGAAAAGAAAGTGTATCACGGAGATAATACCACCCTTTTAGGTATTTCTGTATTCCTGCTCTTTTTGAGCCGTACAACCTCCACATCCTTCAGCTTCTGGTTGAAAAGGGACGATTTTGCCACCTAGGGGACATTTGGCGGAGTCTGGAGACATTGCTGGTTGTCAATACTGCGGGAGGAGGAATGTTAATACTGGCATCTAGTGGGTAGAGACTATGTTTAAAGTTAGATAAATAAAATATGTAGGTAGACTTAAACATTTTTAAAGATATTTATGGAATGTAGTTAGGAAAATGTAAATTCAATAATATAACACTTTTTTTCCTCATCAAATCGTCAGTATTTTAAAATTTGTTAAAATTCATTATTTGCAAGAGGTGAACCAGGAAATGACACTCATATAGTGTTGGTGGGACTGAACGTTCCTTCTAGGAAGGTAATGGGGTAGTACTTAGAGGCTGCATATGGAGAGTGGGGTGTTGCCTCCTCTCACCGTGCAGTTCATTTGCCCAAAGAGAAAGATACAGCTGACATCATCTTCTCTTCCTCTCACCTCTCCTTCCCAGAACCCAATGGCTACTCTTAACAAAAAACTAGATAGCATCGATTGCAGAAGAGAAAGCCTCAAATATCATCATTGATGGGGGAAGTTGGCTGTGCTCTTAACCAACTGAGCTAACTGGCCAGCCCCTAGATGTAGGCGGCTGAAGAAGTGAGCTCCCATGCTGCCCATTCATCATTCCTCCTTTAAGTTCCTCTTCTAAAATATCAAGAGTTATTTCAGCAATGGAATACTCAACTATTAAAAAGAATAAGATTTATTCATTTATTTATTTAACAAATATTTATAGAATGCCTACTGTGTCCCAGCCACTGCTCTCAGCATTGGGAATACCACAGTGAAGGTATGTGTCTCTGCAAACTACAGCCTCAGCCAAACCTAGCCTGTTACTTGTTTTGTAAATAAAGTTTTACTGGAACACAGCCACACTCATTTATTTACATATTGTCTATGGCTTCTCTAGAGCTACAACAGCAATATGGAATAGTTATTGTATTAAGTAGAGACTGTCCTGCCTGCAAAGCCTTAACTATTTACTAGCTAGCTCGTCACAGAAAAAGTTTGCCTACCCTGATCTATGTCATTGACTTGTAGAGATGCCCATGATATCTTGTTCAGTTAGACCAGGGGCTGGCTAGATAGCTCAGTTGGTTAGAGCATGGTATTATAACACCAAGGTTAAGGGCTCAGATCCCTGCACCAGCCAGCTACAAAAAATTTTAAAAAGGCCAGTTTTAATATATGCACAATCCCATTTTTGTAAACAACAACCATTCCCAACTACTGCCAAACTTCCAACCCTTTATATGACTATGTGTGTATTGGGCTGCTTGTGGTTGTTTTTGAACATCGGGCGGGTAGGCCCTACATAATCATGTCCTGCCAACTCTCACTGCATTTCTCACCCCTCCTTCTCCCACCAGGTTCTTACATGAATGTGCCAAATATACACCCACCTTAGGGCCTTTCCCCTGAACAGCTCCCTGTTCCTGGAGCTCTCTTTTCCTGTGGTTTGTTCCCTCCCTTCCTTCTGGTTTCTGTTCAAAGTTATCTTATCAGAAGGGCATCCTCTAACCACCCACTTAAAAATAGCATCCCCTCCCCCTGCACTCTGTATCTTCTTACCCTGTTTTATTTTTCTTTGTAGGGACTTTTTATCATTTGACATGTTTATTTACTGTCCCCCACCCCCCACTTTATCTTTTTTTTTTTTTGGTTACACATGGTTAAGTGCTCAAAGAGAGCACAGCCCTATGCTGGTGACTATCTAGAGCCCGTGAAGTGAGAATCTCCATTCAGCAGATATTAGTGTGCTGATGGGTCCATTGGGATGAATCTTCCACCTTCTGGTTCATGCACACCTGCTAGTGCTGGCCATACACACCTCAGAGGGGTGCAAGGGTACCCTCTCCAGATCCTACATTTCCTACAACAAAATTTATGTAAACAGAAAATTCTGGCAAAGCTATGCAGCCTGGAACTCTCAGACATTGTCAGTGGGAGTGTAAATTGGTACAATCACTTTGGAAAATGGCACGATAGTGTCTACTGAAGTTGTCTACTAAAGCTGAAAGTTGGTAGTGGCTGCCCCTGTGACCCAGCAATTTCACACTGTGAAGATATGGAGAGGAAAAACAAACTGGTTTTCTATCTCAACAACACCACAGAAGACTACTGTGATCTCTGGTCACCAAGAAGTGTGTAGGGATTTCTCCTAGCGGACACCAGCTCAGTGTTTTCCAGTTCAGTTCTGCCACTATCTACCTGGAGATACAACACCACAGAAGACTACTGTGATCTCTGGTCACCAAGAAGTGTGTAGGGATTTCTCCTAACGGACACCAGCTCAGTGTTTTCCAGTTCAGTTCTGCCACTATCTACCTGGAGACAGTGTCAGATTCCACAGGTTGAGGACTCAGTCCCCCCCACTTCCCATGCCAATGCCCAGGTTCTTTTACCTGTGCTTCTCACTGACCAGCTACAAATTAGGGTTCCCATGACCCCCTCCTTGATTAATATGCTAGAGCAGCTCAGGGAAGCACTTTACTTACACTTACTGGTTTATTATAAAGGACATTACAAAGAAAACAGATAAGAGATGCATAGGGCAAGGCACAGGGGAAAGGTGCATAGCTTCCACGCCCTCCCTGGGTATGCCATTCTCCACCCTCCAGGAACCTCCACAAATCCAGCTATGCAGAAGTTCTCCAAACCCCGTCCTTCTGGATTTTTATGGAGGCTTTATTACATAGGCATGATTGATTAAATTGTTGGCCATTTAACCTTCAGCCCCTCTCCGTTTCATCTCATCTCATCTCATCTAACCTAATCTGATCCTGCCTTGGTCTTTCAGGTCCCCATACTGAAGGTACCAAGGGGCTGCCAGTCGTCAGTCAACCCCTTAGCATACAAAAACAAAAACAGAAAAAAACCAAAAACCACTATCGCTTTGGAGATTCCAAGGATTTTAGGAGTTATAGGCAAGGAATCTAGGATGGAGATCTAATATTTATTTACAATATCACACACCCAACAGAAATGTGGTATAGTCACACCATGCGCTGCTACACAGCAGTGAGAATGAACTACAATACACAGCAAAATCAATAAATCACAAATGTACTGGCCAGCCACCAAAATAAATAAATAAATAAATAAATAAATAAATAAATAAATAAATAAAAGAAAGAAAAATAAAAAAAGGAAAAAAAGAATGACATACAGAAAAGACACAAAGGAATCTGCACTGTATGTACAATTGAAAAACAAACAAAACTAATCAACGCTGTTAGAAGTCAGGTTGATGGTTGCCCTTGGCAGGGGCTACTGGAGTCCTGGTCATATTTTCGTTTCTTGAACTGGGTGCTGGTTACACAGGTGTGTTCTATTTGTGAAGATTCATTAAGCTGGACACTTACAATTTATGCATTTTGCTGTATGTATGTTTTATTTCACTGGAAAATTAAAGCAAAAAACGTTAATAAATCTCAAGAAAAA